AAGGTCCCTTCCAACCTAAATTACTGTATGTTTATCTTGCTGAGAGTGTTGGATGCTAACACTGAGACCTTCACGAAGGCACTTGACAGGTCAAAGGCTTTCTCCCACCACCTCTGAAAACAAGATGTGGGACTGCAAAGGAAGAGGTCCAGCCCCCCAGATAATCATTTTGTCTGCGATGCATGAAATTAGGTGGCAAGATCTGTGTGTGCTGTGGCTTCATCCTGCTGAGCAGATGTGGGCAGCCCCTGGGAGCACTGCGCTGGCAGGAGCCAGCCGTTGCTGGAGCACAGGAGCGCAGGTTCCTCCCACAGCAGTGACCTCTCAGCAGCCCCAGCTCTGCACCCTGGGGGAATTTGGCTCTTAAATCTGGTTAGGTTTGTAGGCTGAGCTCCTCGGGATGTGACTTCACTTCGTCAATGTGAACACTTAAGTATGCAGCCTTTCTGAGTGTTTTGGTTTGCTTGAGTTTCTTTTTAATGGCTGTGTTTAAGAATAAGATAAGAAGAAGCTGGAGTGTGCTCAATGTCCTCAGTTTTCTTATGCAAGTACTTTCTGAGAAAAATGCCTGTTTGCTGATATCATCTCAGCAAAGCGCTGACATTGTGCCATCTATGTTTACTAAAAGAGCTGCATTAACCACTTAAAACGCTTACATCACTTTTTCTTGCTTGTAGAGGGAGGTGTCCTTGATAACTGTTCACTGTAATTACAGCAGATAGGAGATGCTCATCCCAGGTGTGCTAAGTGCCCTCTTCAGGTCTTCAGCACTGTGCACGTCAACAGTTATTTTGGATTTCCCCTTCCAAATTATTCTGCGAAACACCGTTGTGGCCACTGATGTTTTAGTTTTCCCCTAAAATCTACCAATTGCTCTCCAGAGGCAGTGAAAGCTGCTAGGCGTTTTTACAAAGAATCCCAGTATGGTTCTAAGGAAGCTGTATTTCCTATTTGTGTTTTGCTTTTAGACCCTGGCTTCCAGAAACCCTTTTTGCCCGAGAAAAAAGGAGAAAATCAGACTACCTTTTAAAAATCATTATTATTTTATGAGTACAAGGTAAAGGGCGAACATCCGTGAGTGGCAAATTTCCTTTTCGAGCAATTCTGAGCAAAACTGAAGTCTTTTTGAAGTGGTTTGCTGCAACTGCATTTTCTCTTGCTTCCTGTTCATACTTACTGCAGTTCATTTTTGGGGCATACCTACCAGCACTTTGTGTGTGGTTACAGGCAGCAGAGGAAGCTAGAAGGCCAACAAGAAGCAAGGGGGTTTTAAAACCTTATTTCTTATTCTTCTTAGGATACTGCTAATGAGAAGGTGCTTTTATTCCTTCTTACCAGCAAGGCGTGATACAGTCCCCTAGATCAGCGCTGGCTGAGGCAGGGAGGGATATGAAAGAAAAGGGAATAGCAGATTTCATGCTGTATGATTCTCCAATTACGGGTCCAGACTGTGGGCAGCGTAAAAACTTTTGTTTAGTCTGCAGGCGTTAGCTGGTGGCTGCTTTTAACTTAAGCTCTGGGTGCCGAGCTGGGAAGCTGGGTGTCTTTTTGAAGGGATTTCAGCCAGTGCCCTTTACAGCACTGGAATAAAGCTGTAGTGCAGCTGCGGTATGGACGGAGCCCAAGGTGACGGAAATGTGCCAGGGGTGAGGTGTAGGGGCAAAACTGCACCTTCCCTGCCCATGGTTGCAGGGACATTTGGCTTGGTACTTCTGGACCCTTCTCTGCCCCACAGTTGTGCTGTTCGTGGGACCTCAGGATGGACTGGGTGAGGATTAAGGCTTTGCTGCAGAGAGGAGCCGCAGCCCTGAGCTCTGTGGGATGGTCAGGAGGAGTGAAAAGCAAAGGCTGGAGATGCCGTGGCCCTGTCAGTTGTTCTGCTGCATCTGTGAGAGCAGAAAACACCTTTAGAGCCCTTCCTGGCCTAATTTCTTTAATAAACAAAACATGTTCTTGGAGCAGGACACATTTTAGAGAAAGATGCCTTCTCTTCATTTGGTCAGCATGGGAGTTAACATGTGGAAAGCTGTGATGCTTCGTGCTGCCTGTCCTTTTTGCTGATGGGCCCTAGAAATCATTGCAGTTCCTGGCCCATGTGTGAATTCCTGAAAACAACATCACTATTTGGAAACTACCTGCCTATGGCTGCATGACTCCAGTGTTCCCATGCTTTCCTGGTGCTTAAACCAAGAAAACCAAGTCAAAACTTGCCTCGTCCAACAAATTAAAAATACTCTGAATAAGCCATTCATGCTAATTAACATTTAGTCATCAGCTTGTGTTTTCAGTTGTTTTGGTGCTGATGGTTCAGATCTGCTGGCCTGACTAGTGAAACAGACTGACAGAGCACGGACATGGAGGCCCACAGCCAGGGCTGGATATCAAGTGAAAAAGGTTCCTCCGTGTGCAAAATCATCAAACATAAAATAGGCATGTATGGTCTGATGGTTTCTGGGACACAAAGACAAGCAGGCTCCTCTAGAGGGCTTGGATATTATTTAAAGCAACACTATTTCTGTACACAACAGGGAGCGTGAGTGCCTAACAAGATGGGTGCCACAGGGCTGGTAATAGGGTTCATGTTGGGTGATGCTTCACAGGGATGGGAGATCAGACTGAGGTGTTCCTGTCTCCCTCTTGATGTGTGAAATGTGGCAGGTTTGTTTCAGTTCCCTGGGTTTGGGCTCTTTTGAGCTATGGCTGGGTTAGATGTGGTTGTCTCACTGAATCACTTGTCTCGTGAGCAAGGCTCTGGTTTCAATTAAAGCCCAGGGTTGGAGTCTACTAGCACGGCAAAAACGCAAATCCGTGAGTATGATTGTGAGGATTAAGTGGGAAAAACAAGCAACAAATGTTAGGACTAATTTGAAAAATGTTCTGGTGTTTGCTTAACCTCATGCGTTCTTGCTTTTTCCCCCCCCTGAACTTAATTTTGCACACAATTAACCTTTTTTTCTGAGAGGCAATGTTGCTACAGTGGCTTTCTGTCTCTCAAAAGGCTGCTGAGGAGCAGAGCTGACAGCAGGCCTCTTCATTACGGCGTGTTTCCGCACCGACTGGGCAGGGGGAGGCCTGGGGCGGCAGCTCAAACCACGTGGAAAATGGCTTTTGGTTGGGCTGCCTGCCCTTGTTGGTTTGGTCCTGACTGCCCCTGGTGCCACAGGACAGCAGTGGGGGTGATTTGTTTTAATATTAAGCAGTGCTAAGAAGAGAGATCTGCACCTGGGCAGCTCCCCTGCCCTTGGACACTGAGAGCTTCTGAAGAGGCCGAGCCACACCGCCAAGGGCCGCCCAGTGGTGCCTTTAGCACGTCTAGGCCCCTAGTGCTTTCACCAGAGTAATTAGAGCAGCAATTAGTTTAATTCAGGGTGGTTTAAAATGTGCTGTTCATCTTTCAGTCCAGATCTCAGACCCCACCACGGTGTGAGCCCTGCAGATGGGCTTGTGGGGTCCGGGGCTTCTTGCCTAGCCCTTCAGCTCCTCCCTGGCTCCGGTGGGAGTTCAGCCTGGGCAAAAAGGAGCAGCCTTGATCCCAAACTCCCTGAAGATGCTAATTTTCCCATTGACTTGGGTTATTGTGTGCTATTTCCATTCGGATGGTAGCTGTGGGCTCTGATATTTGTGCGAGGCACTATCCAGTCCCAGCACAAAAAGACAGCTTTTGTCCTGAAGGGTTTACATGTCAGGCAAATGGGCTTTGGCTCTGAACCCAGAGATTAGTGAGGAGCATATGGTCCCTAAGAGGTGCAGCCTGTATTGCTAAAAACGCCTGGAAAACTGGAACCAAAGACATTGTGTTTCCCCCTTCCCTTCCCTCTCCGGCAAAAATTCCTGTCAGTACAAGCCATGATAAAAAAAAAAAAAAAAAAAAAAAAAAAAAAGCAGCTCTACATCTGACATAGAAGGGGGGAAAAAGGGGGAAATGAGTCCCTTTTTGGCCATAGTTGTGTGGGGAGTGGTGCCTGTATTTTCCACCCTTCAGCAGTCCTCTTCTAGAGATGTCGTGCCATCGGAAACCCACTGATCAGTTCCACACAACGGCCCGTTGAGGGGCTGCTTGTTAGGGCCTTGTATTTCCCTGGGATGTGACCGGGGCTTCTGCCCTGAGCAGGCTTCTGGCCAGGGGGAGATTTTGTCTGGGATTCCCCCTCCTCGCCATGCGATAGATACTGCAGCAATGCAGCTGGGAAGGCAACGCCTGGGCGTTTGGGTGGGGGAGAGGAACATAGCCTCACGTGCGCTTGCAGCCTTCCTCATTTATTAGCACTCGGCCCGGGGAGGATCTGGATTTGAGCACGTACTTAAATTTCAGCGTGTGCTGTGGCGTTGCCCTGAACGGAGACCATCTCAAGCTTTTGCTGAAGTGCTTTCCTGAAGCGGGGCCAGCAGACTGTGAAAGTTGTCTCGTCTCTTTTCTGCTCCACTGTGTACATGCTCATTGTGGCTTGCTGGCTATTTATTGCAAGAAAAAAAAAATCAATTGAGTTAGAGCTAGCTAAGTAACTGAGAGTAAGTTGGTTAGGAGGGTCATGCATGAGTTGAGAGCAAGACATCTGACCGTGCCATTAGTCTCTCTTGTTTCTATGATCCTAATTCTGCTCTAAATTAATTCTTTTGTTTAGCTGCTGTTTTTTTTTCCCCCCTCCTTTTTGTTTTCGCATGAATGCTTGTCTCTATATTTAGGTCTGCCGGGACGGGATGTTACGAATAATTGTTGATTGATATTATTAAACACTAACACGCTTGGCTGTGTTGCACTAATGATGGGGCTTTGGGGATATGCAAATCAATTAATTGAAGTAATTGCTGTAATAGCTGTTTTGGAGGATGCTGTTGAAGAGCCCTTGGGATGGCAGACAAAGAGACATTTGGAAGTGTGGAGGAAAAGGGGTCCTTGAGAGTTGCTGAAGATTGCTGCTACAAGCTGCTGATTTGCAAACCTGTGTTTATTTTGTTCTCCAAAACCCACTCAGAGCAAATCCTTCTTTGCTTTGTTTCAGGCTTACCCCTGTGTGGCTTCTCCTGGACTCCTTCTGAGGCCCGTTCTGCTGAGGCAGAGCTGAAGAAACTTAGAGATGAGGCACAGCCTCTTTCAGGTAACATCTTGGCTTAAAAATATAGGAGACCTGCTTGAAAAACACCTGAGGAAAAAGTGTTTTCCAGCTGGCTTCAATATCAGACCTCTGTGACACCTTGCACTGAATGGTTTTGATTTGCCAGCTGATTCTCATTCATGACAAAGTTTTTCCCCTTCTGTGACAGCATCATAGGGCCTTACAGTGGGCACAGAAGGGACGTGAGATGCCTCAGGAATCATTGCAGGGAGGCTGTGAAAAGAATGGGCTATGGGTATTGTCAGGATGGGGAGGAAAAGGTCTCTTCTGGCTTCTACCCCACCTTACATGTGCTCTCCTTGCCTTTGAGCATTATTGTATATTCTTTTGTCTCGGTTTCCATATGCATAGTGCTTTAGTCTCTGCACTCTGGGGCGAGTGTTCAATGTGGTGCACAGATGGTGCTGCCAGAAATCCTGTTATTTGCTAATGGGATTTTGTGCAAAGCATTTCCACTGTTCTTAAAAAAAAAAAAAAAAAAGTGTGCATATTTGTGTAAATATGTCCAGACCCTCATCTTGCTGCAACATCCCCTCCCGTGCAGCTGAGAACACAGCTTTATTTTTTATTTATCTGTTTGTTAATCCCCAAGAACAATGTCAGACCAGCTTCTGTGGGAGGCAGCGGCTGCAGGAGCCGGCGCTGAGGGCTGTACCTGTGCCTTGCACAGCGCAGGAGGGTCGGTCCCCACCAGCTCTGCCAGATGTCACAACCCTGCCAGGTGGCCTGGACGGATAGGTTGAGGCTGTCATGCCCTCGTTGCCTTGCTGGTGGTCCTGCCCTCACGTTTTGTGCCGATATATGGCTGAGAGATGCTTAACTATTCAGCAGCCTCCCCCTGTTCCAGCGATATTTCTCTAATGCAAAGTTCAGCTATTATGCAGCTATCCCCCTCTGTGCCTTCTATTCTTCAAGTAGTGCCCAAAATTATGATATAAATAGCAAAGGCCTAGAGGATGTTGCTTTTATCACCAGAGGCCTTTCAGAATAGGTTAGCCACGTGCCTGACAAGGATAATACAGCGCTGACTCTTGCACGAGGCGCAGAACTGGGCTAGGTGACCTCCCGAGGTCTTTTCCAACCCTTATTTTTCCATCGCTGCGTGACGTTTGCTGCCAGTGTCAAGACCGGTAAGTGGAGCTTTGTTTTGCGTCATGCTCACTGGAGGGAGGTCAGGGTTCAGCAGCCGTCGTGACTAACAGACAGTTACGGGGTGTGTTTCAGGAAGCGCACTGCCCGTCTGTGCTCTCCTCGCCCAGCAAAATGCTGTTCCCCTAAAAGTTTCTCAGCCTTGTTCGCGATGGGAAGGTGAGTCATGCGAGGGCAGTGCTTCTCCTTCAACGGGCCAAGGACTCCAGGTGGTTCCTCTGGGGCTGACTTTAGCCAGAAAAATCCCTGGCTCATCACAACCCGGGTTCAGAAAGCATGGGCAGCCCGCGGCAGGAAACCTGCTAGCTGTGGGATATGTGTGTCTGTGCCAATGCCAGGGGGGAAACCACCGAGCTCTTCCAGATAGCACAAGCATGAGTCCTGCACCTTTTAACTGCTATAGGATCGACACTTACTGCTTCTCTGGACAACCAGGACTCTGTTGCCCTCTAAAGTGGGATCCAGGTCTCACAAAACCCTCATCTCCAGCCTTGTGCCTCGCTCTGGGCTGGGGAGGGGTGCTAATAAAATCAGCCTGCTGTTGCTGTCGACTCTGCAGCGTCTGGATCTGCCTCTGTGTTTTTTTTGGACATCATCACACTGATTAAGTGTCTGGCCGGTGTGGTGTTATGCCATTCGCTGTGCTATTATAACCACTTTTCCAAAATTTAGGAGCCAAAGAGGATCCTGTGCCTTACCTGTCTTCCAGAGGCAGAGTTTGGGAAATAACATTTATTTAGCTCTGCAGAAAATGGCAGAGAACCTGCCCAGACACCGATCTTCAGTAATGCCCCAGTGAGATCTTCAGCCTGATGTCCTCTGCAGGGTGGGATCTCCACAAGAAAACAGCTCTTTGGAGGTGTCAGCTTTCCGTGCTTTCGTAGCCCCTCAGTCTTCCTGGTTTTAGGAAGACTTTCTGATAAGGGCAGTTCGATGGGAATTGTTTGTGTTATAGCCTGGCAGCTTTCAGCTCTCACAGACGCAACACCGTGCCATGCGGCGTGAGGGAACGTGAGGGGCTCACACCAGCCCGAGGAGGGGAGCCTTGCTGATGCTCTGGTATGCAGCAGATGCGATACTATTACCAGGACAAGGATCTGAGAGCATCAGGAAGCAGAAAAAAGCAGTGCTCAGATGTTACTTTAAAGCTGTAAAGAGGAGGATGTGGCAGGGGCTGAATCATCCTGTGCTCAGCAGCAGGCCTGAGCACTGCTCCACAAGCTTTTACAAGCTGTGGTGTATTTTAGTAGTCCTGGTCTGGACCCAGAAGCCATTTCTTTAGGTCTGCACTAAGCTATTAACAATTTCTTCATAAAAATCAAGTCTGCTTGTGGCTCATTTACTGCCTGAGAGCTATTTGCAGCCAGTTTGTTAGTGCTCCATGTGCCTTGCTTCTAGGGGATTGTCATTCTCCTTTTTTTTTTTCATTTTTAGAGGCTTCTGGGCCACTAGAAAGGCTTTTCCCCTCTAACCAGGTTCTGTCAAGACCGGTGACCTGCTATGAGCCAGACTATGATGCACACAATATTAAAACCCAGCTCTTCAGCTTTATTGGGAAGGTTTTTTTTTTCTTTTCTGAAGCACTTGCAGGAGCTTTCCAGGGTAGTTCAAAAAATCTGGGGCAGGCCGGACTGCCAATTATTAGTGTGCCCTTGTGCCTTTGTCCTGTGATCTTGTGACTGAAAATCTGAAACGTGATGTGATTCAGCTGTGGTTTTGGGGCCGTTTTGGATGCTGGGAGGGAGGCTGAGCACATTCTTTCTGCAAAGCTGGGCTAGGCTCATCCCTGGGCCTCTGCCCCCACAGTTACCTGGGGCAGGTGATTTAAACCACAGTAGGAATATCATAAATATCTAAATATCATTCTTACAAGGAATGATAAAATTCCTTGATACAAATGATACGAATTCCTACAATTCCTTGTAGGAATGATATTTAGAGAGCAGGCTGTGCTTTAGCTTTGACTGGTGGTCTCAGTGAAAGCAATATGGCTTAAAAGCCACGTTACAGTCCTGGGATCTATCCAGAAAGAGCCTCCCAGGTTCTGGCCTTATGTTTTCATTAAAGAGCAAGTGGTGGCTCCTAGCATGACGCCAGGGAGCTGTGGGATTTTTAAGGAGAGAACTGAGCATGCCGACGGCATACTAACAAGGCATAAAATACCTACAAGTACAGGAAAAGGCCTTGAGGAGCCCTTTTGGGTTCTGAGCTTTACCTGAAGCTGGGTGAGTTATGTCTTTGAAGGCTTCTCAGGGGAAAAGGTATGGGAGCAGGCTGGATGGGATAATGTAGCAGCAAATCAGCCTGGCAGCTTCAACTTAACGTGAAGATGTGTGTTAGGAAACAACAGCTCAACCTAGGATGTCTTTTCTTTATGGCTGTAGGTGCCTAAGTGCTCTCATGGTGGCTTCACGGCAAAAAAAACACCCTTGTCCCTTTCTGATTTCTCTATTTCGTTTCCCTCCTACTCGCCTCACCTCCAGCAAGGTGTCCTCCAAGATAACTGCTGGCCTGAAGAAGGACAGGCTGCGTGTTTAACTTCATGATTGATTTCAGGACGTGCTGTGCAAATGCAAAGCAGGGGTTGTAAGTACAGCCAAGAAAATACCAAGGGGATACAAGTGTGTGTACGTGTGAGGGGAGAGGCTATAAATAGCATGGAGATATGCACCATATTGCAGCTTGCCTTTCTGTTTTGCTGATGGCACGTTTCCTGGCAGTGTAGATGCCAGGCCCCACTAAGTGATATTTGCCAATACTGAGACCACGTTTGAACTCTCACGCTGCAGCTGTCTTGGACATGGGGAAGAAAATGGAAACACTTCCAGTGTGCTTGCTCTCTCCCACCTTCCCCAGCTGATGTGACCAGGTCAGTCCCCATCTTTGGTTCCTTCCTGTTTTTTAAAGACCGCCCTTGTCTGCATTGTCTAGAAGAGCTTCGGCAGAGGCTTTGGAGCTGCACTTCCACGTGGGTAACTGGAGAACGTGCTCTCATTAACAGCCCTCGAGGAGAGTGAATATTGCTCCTTCCCTTCAAAGGAGAGTCTGAGGTGCCGAGCAAACTCCTGGCCCTCGGTCGGACGGAGCTCTGCTGAAGACATCAGCAAGATCAAAACGTCAGCTGGTGAGAACAGAAGCAGAGCAGGATCCCTCTGTAACACAGGAGGTGCGGTGGCTTTGTGGGCTGTGGAGGCATGAGGTGAACTGTTTTTATCCAGCTCTGGTACCAATAAAATGCAGCCACTTGGGCAAATGGCCCAGCTACTTGCTTAGCCTCTTGGGAAGCTTCAGCACACATGCTGAACTCTGCTGCTGCTGTCAGCAGTAACTCTGCTCGTCATTTTAAAGTTAGCTTGGAGCGGCCTGCACCATCTGCAGTTTCACCATCTGCAGAAGAGATGTACCCTCAGTTGCTGTCAAGTGAAACCGTGCAGAAGCTCGGGAGTCAAAACCCTCTCCCCAGCTGCTATTTGAACACCTTTGCCAGGCGCTCAGTCTCTTCCTCAAAGTTGCACCTCGATGGATGAGCTCCAGATGGTCGAATGGGAACCTTGCCAAGCATGGAGGGCTATCAGCAATGTTATGGATGACTGTAGGCTTCCTGCTGGGAAGTATGTAAAGATCTGTTGGCTTCTTATTGTAGTCCCCTAAAAGAGTGCTTTCGTAAGTGCTTTTGGCTTTCCTTATGGCTTAATGAGTTCTTCTCCCTTTTCCAGAAAGTCTGAGACAAGTCAGTCCTAAGCTGTCCACAACCTCTATTTGTCTGATTTCCCTCCCCCCCCCCCTTTTTTTTTTTTTTTGGAAGTATATCAGATGAGCGTGATGGGGTGGAG